TCTCCCCGCCCCCCCCTTTATCGCTTTTATAATTCAATTAATATAAGAAAATTCACAATTTGATACACACTCCCCGTGGGATCAACCCTTGCCCGCCACTACTACTAGTTAGTAGAGGTTGGTTAAGGAAAATATAAATTATAATTTTGCCGCGTTGCGACGCGCGGTCAATGACTATGCATAGACTATACAAATAGCCATCCTACTGATGTATACTTATAGAAAAAGCAAAAGACCCCTTAGTGTTAAGACAACAAGGGACCGCCAATTGGTTCAATTTTCAGCATGTACGAGCTCCCAATATATTTTGCAATAGATAGAAATATTTGTCCAAGTGTGTTAAAAATTTATAATAAAATCTTATCATTGAGAAACAATTACTTACAACAATTTTCTTTTAAAACCGATACATTTTTCTTTTCAAAATGGATAATATACTTGCAATTAAATAAATAAATTATGATACACAATTAACATGAGATGGGAGGAAGCGGATGAAAGACAACAAATGAATAGGAATTTAGGCCTAAAAAAGAGAAAAGTGGTTCCTTGTATCCAAAATTATTTAAGTTTAAGGTTGGTGAGATATTTTTCAGACGATAAAGATATATCTAGCAGCAAATAAAAAATAGTGAATATTAAAAATAAAAACATCCAAAACTATACATGAGAGAGTGATGAGCCATTGTCTAAGAGTAGAAAAATCAACTTCTTTTAAAAATAAGTTGAAAAAATAAATACTCAACCCAGTGAATAAAAAAAAATTAGCCCAAATAACATGGCCCAAAATGATCTTATTATTAGGTCTAAAATGATCTTAAATCAGGCAAAATATATTGGAAATTGTGGCTTAGCCACGTGGCACACTAAGGAGTGCGAAAACTCTCCGTTATTAAGATTGAGATGAGATGAGATGAAGAGGGAGTAATAGATAATAGATAATAGATATGTGTGTGTGAATTTCGCTAGTAAAAACTAGGAAGCAATCTAGAGTGTTGATAATTTTCAAAAATAAAAATAAAAAATAAATAAAGTCAATGACATTAGCGACTAAAGAGTTGACCTTATGTGGTCAGTTGTACTGTTGTTGGAATATCACTTGTGAGTTATCTCACATTGATTTTGTAGGGAAAGTGAGCCTAGTATATAAGCATAATGGGCTAATCCTCCCACCACCAATTAGTTTTGGGATGGAACATCACTAAGGTGCACCTATGCTCGTCCTCTTATGGTGCGTTTCACCTTGTGCGACCGCACTCCCTTCTTCCAGTTCTAATATGGTATCAGAGCGGACCTGTCCTAGGACTTGCAATGTCTCTCTACCCGATCTGCTATGAGCTTGGGCTTATCTCTCTACCCGGCTTGCCTATGAGCGTGGCTTACGAAGGACTCCAAGTGAGAAGGCGTGTTGAAATATTACTTGTGAATTTGTTCTACATTGATTTTATAAAGAAAGTGATCCCAGTATATAATCTTAGTGGGCTACTCCTCCAATCACCAATTAATTTTGGGATGAACCTCACTATGGTGCATATGTGTTCGCTCTCTTATGATACATTTCACCTTGTGGGACCGCACTCTCTTCTCCTTTTCTTATAGTGCGTTTCACCTTGTGCGACCGCACTCTCTTCTCCCGGTTCTAATAACTGCCAAGATTCACGATAATCGCTGCGACTTTCAGTCAACCTCAGCTGTTGACAGATTTGAATTTATTCAACGATTTTTCTGGCGTTTTAGCAATTCGAAAATTTTATATTATTTCTTTTTTTCTTTTATTGCTGAAAACACTTTTGTGGAAATTACAGTGTTTGGCCTTTGAAGGGTTGACCAACCCTATGAGAGGCGGCGAGTAAGACATTTTTGCCTAATTGTTTTTTTTTTTTTTTTTTTTTTTGGGGCTAGAAATTAGAAATACGAGCAAACAGTTAGAATGTGTAAATAACTAAAAAAGGTTATTTACCAAACTCTCATTACAAACCGGTTAACATAATTTGTTGATTGAATCAGTTAATACAACCAATTGTCAATTATTGGCCTATTGAGCTGCTAATTGTTGAATAAAACTATTATATATATCTTGTCATTAAAATGTGTGTAATTTTATCTTTTTTCATTTGATTTAAAATTAATGCAATCAATAGCTAAAATTAAAATAATCTAGGCCTTTGGTTTGTTCAAGACGATGAGTGTAATTTTTTCCATGATATGATGATGATTGATGTATTAAGAATTCTAAAAATAAGGACATAAACAGTGCTTTATTATATTAATAAACATTAAACAATACATTACCAACTAGTGTTGGCTAATTGAAAAAAAAAAAAAAAATAGTGTTGGCTCAAGTGGTAAGCAGTTTGATGCCGATTAAGCAAGGTCGCGGGTTCGAGCTTGTGGATGAAGGAAACCCTTTTTGAGAGACTCGCCCACCACTATAAAGACTGCGACGCAGATCGACCAATAGATTAGTCGGGCATAGCTCCGGATACTGACTAAAAAAAACATTAAACCATACATTATCCAGATAATTGGTTGTTCAAGTCAAAAAAGTGTGTTGTATTGTATTTGATCAAGGGACCCATGTGAACCTTCTACTTTGTCTGTTCTAAAAGGCTCCAAATCGTGTAAGACCAAAATTCTACCTTTGACTTATGCACTCACCCGACTCACCTCATAATTGTGGAGACCCCTTTTTAGCTGAGAATATATACTTATAACTGACTTAATTGGTATTAATTTTTTTATTAATCACCTTTTATAGAATAGTTAGACTTGTATTATGTATTTTATCTAATAACATATTCATAAATATCAATTGTTATTATATTAATATTTATTGCACTGGTAATAAATATTTTTATATTACTATATAGAAAGATTAGCAATTATTCCACTAAACCTTATTTTCTAAATAAATATCCTAAATAAACACATGTACAATGTACCCATAATTCATCGAATCTAATTCCAATCAACTAGCTCACAAATTAATGGAAACTCATAAAGGGATTAGAATAATTTTATTTATTTATTTTTTTTTTTTGGTACATAAAAGGAGGCATAACCTTAAAAGAAAAAGATCACACAACTACTACGTTCCGTGGATGAGAAACACCGATGATATCGTATTCCAGCTATGGTTTAACGTCTCCCGGAGGGTTCTGCAACACATGAAACCCACCAGGGCTGCGCGTAGCCAAAGAGGCCAAAGAGTCCGCCGCAAAATTTGATTCACGCCAATCATGGATGAGGCGCACCTCCCAGTCTCTAGCGATAATTTTTTTGCGGGCGAAAAAAAAAAAAAATTCTGCACGTGCCAAAGGCAATGATTATTACTACTATCAGTGCTAATATTGTATTATTAATTATATTATAATTCTTTAAAAATTTATTTCTCCTAAATATATAATATATATATATATATAAGCAGTTCCAAACTCCATAATTAACCAACCAACATTACCAACCAAAAAACCACACTAAAAAAAAATCTCACTCCCTCCTGCATCCCCACAAATGACCAAACTACCCTTCCCTCCCGCCAAAACCCATCTCCCCCTCATCCTCTTCCTCCTCTCTCTCGTGCCCCTTTCCGTAATTTCACAATCCCACCTCGCCGAGAGATCCGCCCTGTTGAGCCTGAAAGCCCAATGGGGCGACCCCCATGGCCTGCTCCAATCCTGGAACGACAAGTCGCTCCACTGCGACTGGCCGGGAATCCAGTGCTCCGCCGCCGGCGGCGCCGTCGTCGCCCTGATCCTCCACAACTTCAACCTCAGCGGTGGCGTCCCGGACTCCATATCCAGCCTCGAGAGCCTCACAGTTCTTGATCTTGGCCTCAATTACTTTGCCGGAAAATTCCCCACGGCGGTTCTGAACCTCTCGAAGCTAGAGTATCTCGACCTCTCGCAGAACTACTTCGCTGGGGTTATTCCGGTGGGCATCGGCCAGCTCGAGTCGCTCCGGTACCTCGATCTCGGCGCCAACAGCTTTACCGGCGATGTTCCTCCGGCCATCGGGAACCTCAAGCAGCTTCGGACTCTGTACCTCTACCAGAACCTTCTCAACGGGAGCTACCCGGTGGAGATCTCGAATCTGGAGAATCTCGAGACACTAGAGCTGGCATTTAACCGCTTCACTCCGGCGGCCATACCGCCGGAGTTTGGGAGATTAACTAAATTGAAAGTTCTCTGGATGACGAAAGCAAACGTGGTCGGTGGAATACCCGGGAGCTTCGAAAAATTATCAAGCCTGACGAACTTGGATTTATCAGAGAACGGTATGGAAGGCCCGATTCCAGCCGGATTATTCTCGCTGAAGAAATTGAGTAGGGTTTATCTGTTTTACAATAGATTTTCCGGCTCGATTCCTCCAGTGACCGGCTCGTTTGGTTTGGTCGACATCGACCTATCTATGAACAACTTGACCGGCAAAATCCCTGAGGATTTTGGGAAGCTGGAAAGTTTGGAGGTTTTGCATCTGTATGCAAATAATATGTTTGGTGAAATTCCACAAACAATTGGACTACTACCAAATTTGAAAACATTCCGGGTTTTCAAAAACAATTTAAGCGGGATATTGCCACCTGAAATGGGTAACCACTCGAGGCTTGAAGCGTTCGAGGTTTCCGATAATCATTTGACCGGAAAATTGCCGGAAAATTTGTGCGCCGGTGATGCTTTGATTGGCGTGATTGCTTTTAGCAACAAGTTAGCCGGAAAAATTCCAGAATCGCTTGGCACTTGTCAAACCCTTCGTTCGGTTCAGGTTTATGGCAATAATTTATCAGGTGAAATCCCTTCAGGCCTTTGGTCTGTACAAAACTTGACAAGTCTCATGTTGAGCGATAACAGGTTTTCTGGAAAGCTCCCAAGTAAAGTAGCCCCGAATTTGTCTCGTGTGGAAATAAGCAACAACGAGTTTTCAGGCGAAATTCCTACTGAGATTTCATCTTGGACGAGTTTAGCTGTGTTTAAAGCAAGTAACAATATGTTATCTGGCTTGATCCCGAAAGGGTTGACTAATCTTTCCCAGCTCATCACATTGATGCTCGATGGGAATTCACTTTCCGGTGGATTACCATCTGAGATAACATCATGGAAATCTCTCACTATTCTGAATCTAGGCAGGAATAATTTATCCGGCGAAATTCCACCTGTATTTGCCTCTTTGCCTCACCTTCTTGATTTAGACTTGTCGAGTAATCACATTTCAGGTAATATCCCTCTTGCCTTTGAACATCTGAAGCTAACTTATCTTAACCTATCTTCGAATCAACTCACCGGGAGAATACCGAGTGAGTTTGATAACATTGCTTATGAAAACAGCTTCTTGAACAACCCCAATCTTTGCACCATAAACAAAATCTCAAATCTTTCCAGCTGTGTTATTATGAAATCTCGGGTAATCAAAAAACAGTCACACGGATATCTAGCCATGATTCTAGCTTTATTACTGGCCCTTTGTTCGATCGCCATTTTCACCACATGTTTTTCAGTTAAGTACTTTAGGCGAAAGAAGCTTAGCCGTAATATAACTACATGGAAATTAACCACCTTCCAAAAATTGAATGTTACTGCGGGTAATATTCTGTCGAGTTTGGCAGAGAGTAATATGATCGGCTGTGGTGGTTCGGGCAAAGTGTACAAAATCCCAGCCGATCGTGAAAATGAATATGTGGCCGTGAAGAGGATTTGGAGCGAGAATAAAAAGGATCATTTGCTCGAGAAGGAATTTCTAGCTGAGATCGAAATTCTCGGTTCTATTCGCCACTCTAACATCGTGAAGCTGCTGTGTTGTGTTTCGAGGGATGATTCAAAGCTTCTTGTTTATGAGTATATGGAAAATCAGAGTCTTGATATATGGCTACACATGAAAAGGAGAAAAGCTTTTCAAGCTCGGGTTAACAAAGTCGTTTTGGATTGGCCTTCAAGGTTGAGAATCGCCATTGGTGCTGCACAGGGCCTTTGCTACATGCATCACGGTTGTGATATGCCGATTATTCATCGTGATGTGAAATCGAGCAACATCTTGTTGGATTCTAATTTTAACGCGAAAATAGCCGACTTCGGTTTGGCCAAGATTTTGGCCAAGAAAGGGGAGGCTAATACAATGTCTGCGGTTGCTGGCTCCTTCGGATATATTGCCCCAGGTAATTGTAATAATAATAAGGGCCTATAGTGTTGTTAAATTGAACGAGTCTGACTCCGCTCGGCTTATTAAGGCTCGAGTTCGGCTCGAGCTCATTTAAAGCCCGTTTGGTTAACGAGCCGAGCTGAGCCGATAAAGCTCGAAAAGAGAATTTTTATATAATTTTTTATAGTTTGGCTCGTTAAAGCTCAAGATCAACTCGTTAAGGCTCGAACTCAGCTCGTTAATAGTGATAAACGAGCTGAGCTCGAGCTCGATTTCTGGCTCGTTTACAGGCCTAGGCTCTACTTAAAAAAAAAAAAAAAAAAGAATATCAGTTGATCAGAGTTACAAGCACAACTTGATATTTGTTTCTCTTTTGCATACTGCATTTGAACAAGGTGTTTTTGTTACATTTCACCAAAAAAGAAGAGGTTGATGAATACTAATCCCAATTATCTTTTTTACTTTATCACTGCTAACTAGTTATTATGATTCTTGCAGAATATGCTTATACGACCAAAGTGAATGAGAAAATCGACATCTATAGCTTTGGGGTCGTGCTGTTAGAGATCGTCACCGGCAAGGAACCTAATATAGGAAACGAGCACATGGGCCTTGCCGAGTGGGCTTGGGAACACTACGGACAAGGAGAGCCCATTTACGATGCTTTGGATGAGGAGATAAAAGAACTATGTTTCGTTCAAGAAATGGTGACTGTTTTCAAGTTGGGGCTCATGTGCACGAGCTCGATTCCCTCAAATCGACCCTCGATGAAAGAGGTTTTGCAGATTCTTCAAAGGTGTAGATTTTCTGAAGGGAAAGGGGAAAGAGATGAATTTGATGCCGACCCTCCTTTTGTGGAAGATAAGTATGTTTCAAGTTATCTGTGTCAGTCAAAGAAGGTATTGGAGGATGAAAGTGATGAAAGCTTGTTTACTCTTGTGTAATGTAAGGTGTTGATGTAATATGTAAGAATGACAATAAGTTGTTTGTTACGGCTAAAGTTAATCTACTTTGTCAGATAGATTGATATACCAACTGGCTTATCGAAGCTTGAGTCTATATTTTCGATAAATCGATGCATAAATTATCCTTATAATATAGCATGACTTTCAGCTTAATAAATTTGTACAAATACTTATGCTGACTTCGGCTATGTTTGATAGACAAATAAGCTAGCTTATAGCTTATTTGGTTAGCTTATAAGCTCTCTGTATTCAAATGAGCCTTGTTTGGTAGGACGAGTTTTTTTAAAAAGCTCGAGCTTATTTGATAAGCTTCTTTAGGTAGTTTTTCAAATAAGCTAGTTGTTTTTTATTACAGCTAGCTTATCAGCTAATTTTACCAAACACTTTTATCATATAAGCTAGCTTTTCAGCTATAAGTCATAAGCTATAAGCTATAAGCTCGAAAATTGCTGATAAGCTATAAGCTAGCTTATCAGCTATCAGCTAGCTTATCAGCTAGTTTTACCAAACATAGCCTTCATGTAGTTTGATTGCTTTATGTTGTTGCCATTTAAAAAGAGAGAAAAAAGAAAAGAAGAAAAGAATAAGAAAAGTCACCACTTACACTTTCCTCATATAACATATAAGTAGAAATGAAAATCATACTGCTTACTCCATTCTATTTGAAATAAAAAAAGTTCCATGAGAACAATCAAGAAAAGATCTCAGCAGAGAATGGAACATAATATACACAACAAAAGACTGTTCAAAACTGGGAATGATCTCAGTAGTTTCAGAACGTAAAAACAGTATAACGTACCAAATTTGAAAGAGACGGCCACAGAGCTGTTATTACAAAAACATCCCTCAAACCACCATTTTAAGTCGATTTATACTGTGCATTTTTCCTTGCGCACTCCAAGATGGTTTTGTCGGCAGTGATGAAGTACGCTGCTATTGATGCTGTTACATAATCCCCAAACAAAAAATAAAATAAAAATTAAGGTAAATTATTCGTGAGTTTTTGAGACAACAAATTTAAACAATCCATTTTGACATAACGAAATAAAAAATCGACCAAAATAACAAAAGGTTAGATTTGCTAAGTGTGATAGCCTCCATTGGTGATACTCGTCTTCATCAGAATGCTCTAATATCCATACGAGTAAATTATATACTCTAATTCACACCAATAAATTATGCTAATATGCTCCTTATAGAGAATGCTCCTGCGACTATGGAAACTATTGTTGCATTTTCTGACAAGCTCATGCAAATGGAGTACTGAAATTCTAAAGTGCTAAAGTGGCCATATTTCGAATTTCTAAATGTGGTAGTTACAAGGAATACCTTTCTCTTGGATGTAGCCTAATGACCAAAAGAGAAAAAATATTAAACCAAGTGTCTTCCTAAGTTACAGACACCACATTGATTTGTGTTTCTATTTGACAAATTGCAGCTGCTGAGGAAATAATTTTCGAGACGAAAACAAACACATCCAGAGGGCACTCACAACAACTAAAGGAGTATCTACTAATTTGAAACGAGAAAATTTATTTAGAGGGTAGTTACCAAAAATTCCAAATTTCGGGTTGAGGGTTGTAATAATAATTTCTTTTAAGTATTTATTAGAACGGACGTATAGAGTTCAGCAACTAAGAACTTTGTCAATAGCTACACTAAGAAGTGAACAGTTCAATACACCTACAAATCTCATTCTTTAACTCCAAAGGTCCCGAGCTTTCAAAATAACTAAATACAATTGTCTTTACCACCCATTTTGTTTTTCAACGAGTAGAAACAACATATAAATGCTAGGACGCACCACATGAAAGGATTTTTCTTTTTTTTTTTCATTTTTTATGAATAGACGGAGGTTTCTAAGTTATAGTGTGTCGAATAAACGTACCACCCGATATGATGAGTGCCTGCGCAGTATAGTTGAGATTCGCCTTAGCCCAAGGAATTTTTCGAACAGCAATCAGCTGAAAGATTTGGCACAGTAAGTTCTTACACACATATCTAGGAATCCTCGTAGACACAAAAACTTAAATAAAACATACATGTAAATTATAATCCTGGCACATCGACCTAATCTTTAAGCTGTAACATTCGTCTAGTCAAGCGGTTGTCTAAAGTTAGACATGTTGAATGATAGCACACATCTAATTGCTGTACCGAAAAATTTCACTTGTAACAAAGGTTCCTATGGTTCCATCTCTTTTTTAACATAGGCATAATCTGGATTGACCGATCGAAATTGCAAAATGTGACCTAGGGAGTGTATTCAAATTCTAACAGTTAAATAAAATTTGAGGAAACAAGATTAGCACAATTAGGTCCATGTTTCAGTCCTAAAAAATCTCATACTCTTTAGCTTTGCAGAAACTTTCAATTTCTCACTCTAACTGGATAAGCCGATGACAAAAATAAGTACTCAGCACATTTCCTTTCGTTAGCATCATAATGAACTTAACATAAAATCGAGAGCAAAACGAGTAAATGTAAATGTACACACAGTAGGCACAGCGCTGGCAACACATGTAACAGCGGCAGCTTTGGCTCCGGCTCGCACGCCTTCTGCAAGCACAATATCACACAAATTTAAGTAAATATATCATGCAATATTTATATAATGATGAATGAACAGACCCCAAATGACAATAATACATTAATGCTGAAAAAATATTCATAGATAATCCCCAGAAAGTCTTATATGATGAAAAGGGTGAACATTAACAAGAATATAGATCAGTATAGTTTAATAAAAGAACAAGAATCGTTTCACAAACAAACACTGCCCTTTTAAAATAAAATCTATAAATTCCAAAAGATGTATTTTTATTTATTCCACCAAATCCTCAGAATTTCATCTCAAAAATCGATCGACCCACGACGAGATTAGAGCAATAAACAAATTTCTCGACAAAGGAAAATAAACAGATCAATGAACCTTGAGTACACTGCTTCGAGCGGAGAATTTTCGCCTCTTCAGCTGGAGACTGGATCACCAATGGCTTCTTTGAATTTGCAAACAGGTCCCTCATCTCCGATGGAATCCCCATATTTTCAAAGTTGTTTTTTTTTTTTCCTCCAATTTATTTCTTGAGTTTTGATTCAAGTAAATCGAGGCGTCTGAGTTTCAGTTTGTCTTAAAATAGTGGAGAGCTTTCGGCATATTTTTTGGGCCCATCACTGTATATCATTGAAAAGTGCGACTTTGGTTCTCTATCGTTGAGATTAATGTAAAACACGTTTTATGAGTCTTTTCTTCAAAATCGCCACTTACACCGCCGCCTTCGGCCGCCGGATTCCTCTGTAAACCTCAACACTCCCGTCGCGTCGCTTCCACCTCGATTCTCGAGGTATGCAAATTTTTCTGAAATTTTCCTGTGAAACATAAGTACGAGGAACCCCTTTATTTTTTTTTATTTTTTTTTTTGGCTAGATTCGAATGTGATTCATACTAACATAGCTTTGAAGTGACTGATGCTATTATAATACTTGTGATGTGTTGTTAAATTCATAAAATTGTTTCTTTTTCAGCTTTCCTTTCACTGCATCTGAATCCGTATATGCATACAGAGAAGGGAAATTTCTCCAAACGGTGTCGTTTGGAGCTGATATGCAGATGCCCATAAGCTTCATCGCTTCATATGGTAATGAAAATGAGAAATTTAATGTAATATGATTCCATGTTGCGAAAATTGATAAAAGCAAAACAAAGGGGTTTATCAAGTTTGATACTTGGTGAAGGATGTGGCTTCACCTTCAGCCAGTTGAACAGATATGATAAGCCTCCTTGTAAGCACTTCTTCAAAAATCTTTCTACTGTCAGTGCACAGCTGGAAAAGATATACAGTAAAGGACCCACCCGTTGGATTCTTCTCGAAAAGCTCGAAAATGCTTTAAAGGAGCATCAAGTAAATGGGGCATTGAAAGCTTACAACGATTTCAAGCGGCTTTACGGTTATCCCGATCGATCTCACGTGTCTAACTTGATAACCGAGCTTTCGTATACATCTGACTCCAGATACCTTCAAAAAGCCTGCGATTTAGTTCTTTCGATTTCCAAAGAAAAGCCCGTTTTACTTACACCAGCCTTGATGACAAAAGTGGCCCTTTCTTTAGCCAGGGCTCAAATTCCTGTTTCGGCTTCGAACGTGCTTAGGCAGATGCTGGAGAAAAAGAAACTGCCTTCGTTAGATGTGCTGCGAATGATTTTCCTTCATTTGGTTAAAACAGAAAACGGGGTGTATCTCGGCTCAAATATGTTGGATGAGATTTTTCATAAGTTAAACACAGAAAAATCGGCTAGTACTGCTGAGTTGACTAGGCCTGACTCCACGATTTTCAACCTTGTTCTTGATGCTTGTGTGAGATTCAAGGCTCCTTTAAAGGGTCATCTGGTTATGGAGCTTATGGCACTTAATGGAGTCATGGGTGATGCCCACACTGCAGTGATTGTTGCCCGCTTGCATGAAATGAATTTTCTGAGAGACGAGCTGAAGAAATTTAAAGATTACGTGGATATCGTGCCAAAAAATTTGATTCGCCACTATCAGCAGTTTTACGATTGTCTGCTTAGCTTGCATTTTAAACTCAATGACATCGAGAGTGCATCTGGACTTTTACAGGATTTGTGTAAATATAGCGAGTCGAATGATTTTTCCATGGATCGGGTCGAGAAAGAGAAAAAATCTTGTTCTGTATCTATTGGATCGGGCAATATCAAGATGGGATTGAGACTGCAATTTCTACCTCAGCAATTAAACGAGTTTTTCTATGACTTGAACAGAAAGCAAGAATTTATCTCGTGTAGAAATGGTAGACTTGCTCTGAGAAATAAAGGGTTGGCCAAGCTCGTTATAGGATACAAAAGATCTGGGGAAATAAGTGGGCTCTCGAAGCTTCTTATTAACATCGAGAAAATGTTGTGTTTGCAAGAAAATAGCAGCAGCTTGTGTTCAGATGTGGTCGAAGCTTGTGTTTATATGGGATGGCTTGAAATGGCTCATGACATTTTGGAAGACTTGGAATTGGAAAAATATTGTGCCAGGGAAAGTTCATATTTGTCCCTTTTGACCGCTTATTACGATAAGAAAATGCCGAGGGAAGCAAAACGATTATTGAGTCAAATGAGGAGAGTTGGAATAAATTTTTCCGAGTATGAATATGAAAGGGAATCATCGAATTCAAGTGTAACTTCACTGTGTAAATCTGATTTGGCCAACTCTATTATCCAGAATATGCAAGAAGGTGGTGAAGAAAAATCATCTCGAGTTCGTGAGTTCAACTCTTCTATATATTTCTTCACGAAAGCTCGAATGATTGAAGATGCCGTGCAGACATACCGCAAAATGCAAAAGATGAAGATCGAGCCTGATGACTCGACTTTCTTCCATCTGGTTTGTGGATATATTTCCCTTGGGTTGTATCGTCAGATCACGTTTTTATGGGGCGATATAAAACGGAGCATGGGAAATTTGAATAAGGTATACAGCAGGGATTTGTATGAGTTGTTGCTGTTGAGTTTTATTCAGGGAGGCTATTTTGAGAGAGTTATGGAGGTAATTAGCTTGATGGTGGAGAATAATATGTTCCTGGATAAGGGGAGCTATAAAAACGAGTTCTTGAAGTTCCACATGGATCTTTATCGGAGTTTAACTTCGTCTGATGCGAAAGACGAGGTCCAAAGGAGGCGGATCGAGCAAGTTCGGGCATTCAGGAAGTTTGTTGGCATAGTTTGAAGAAAGAAGGATGTTTTTTAGCTGCATGAGATAAAATGTTCGTGGTATTATTTGTACAAAAACCACCTTTGAGGTTTATGAGTACAAAACAAGAGTACTTATTGGGGGTAAAAGAGAGAGTTTTTTTTTCTTTTTGAAGTTTCGAAAAGATGACTCGAGTTTTTTGTAATCTGCAGATATTAAATCTGAACTTCTGTTATAGCAGAACCAGACCAAGTTGCATATTTGTTTTATGCCATCTGTAATTTTACTGCCACTGATTTGTTCATCACTGTTAAAGAACACTAGCTCAAGATTTTGGAATCATTTTTGTTTTTACCCAACTTTACACTAAAGAATCGTATTGTTGCACCTGTTATCAGAAATTCATACATGACCTATTAAAATTAGAAAAATTATAGAACCCACCACACCAGAAAAACCACAAAATAGCAATTCTATGTACTTTTACAGACAAACATTCCCAACAGAAAATCGAAAACACACAACTTTATACGTACACAGTTGAGCAGATATTTGAAACAGAGCCCTTTCTCAGAACTCATGAGCCCCATGGATATTTTGCATGGCTCGTCAAGAAAGGAACAAACAAACACAACCTCAAAATCACTCAAAAACCGTGTCATCTTCACCTCACCAAACTCCCAAAATATACTCTAATACTCACATCGGCCTTCCCAACATATACACAGAAGCATGAGAACCAAACAAACCAACGAAAAAAAAAAAGAAGCCAAAACACGTCCTAGAAAGATGTGTGGAGAGATAGTTTCGGAGCTCGGCAATTTGGTCCTGCATCTTGATTATCATGTCATCCCTTATCTTTAGCTGTTGCCTCAGCTTCTGGATGACATCTCGCTTGTTGAATATGTCTGAAGTTCTGAACCGTATTCTGAGACGCACGGGGATTTGGAGCTGTTTGTGTTGTTGAAAAAAAGGCTTATGAGGAAGCTCGAGCGGGTCGGGGGAGGAGGACCACCAAATCACCCTCCCGATTCTCCTTGTTCAATTCAGAGGGAGGGAAAGTCACGAGCGGAGAGGTGAATCTCGTCGGGTTTGGATATCTGTCCATTGAGGTGCGGCTTAATCTCAACAGCTGTCCTATGTCCTGTTTGGTCAGAGCAAAAAAGAAAAGACGAAAAGAAAGGATTGATAAAATTAACCAAATTTACGTATTCGCATGGGTGATTTCTTGGAATAGCTTTGATTTGATGATGCAAATGTGTGGAGGAAAATCTTGCACACACACACACACAAACATATAATCCTTAGGCAAAAATAAGAGAAAATCTGAGTTTAATCGAAAATGCAGGAGTGGTGTGTTGCACAATCTACGTAATGAAAGTATGAGAATTGAACTAAGAAGTTGAAAACTTGAATAACGATTGTAGCAGCCATCTTCATCGTGAGGAAAGCAACAGGCGTTTGAGTGAAAATGGCAGCTCGGTGACTTCTTCCCGGTCAGCTGAATTTCTATTTACTGCAAACCAGAAGCAACACTCTGAATAGTATACAGAAAAAAATAAAAAGCTATACCTATTTTAATGTGCATTGCCGAACCTTTTCGACTCTGCCTACCATTGTTTAGTTGTTTAGCGTCAAAGACATGCTTAAACTTGCAGACCAAGCGAAACGAGAGCGTGGTGTTTACACACATAATAATCGTTTCAGAACCACATGAAATGTAGATACTAACTAAAGAGTACAAAGACTGGAATGACTAGTTTTCCTCTCCCAAAGACGAAATCACCTAATTAGTATGTTGAGAAATGTGTATTTCCCCACAATTAAGCTAGGCAAATGAACAACAAACCCACGTCAAACAATAAATCTCAGACAAAAAAAAAATTAAGAAAAAATATTTGTTATTTTTAAGAAATGTTATAGCACAAATTGTTACTTTTACCGAGTACTGGATCGAAAGATTCGTTCCCCGAGTCGATCTCACGAGGAAGGCGGTTCGGAATTCAGCTTTGGTATCGATCACACATAAAAAGAAAATAAACCTAAACACTCTAATCAGATAAAGATTGGATGAATTATTAGCTAAGAAATAAAGAAAAAGCAAAAATATAAATCTACCTAAGAATATGAACGAAACAAAGATGAGAAGCTAGGGAATCCGAGATAATTAACTCAAGTTCTATTTGCACGCTGAGACATTAATCATTCTATTCTAGATTGACGCTCTCGCTTAAACATCTAGCGGTTCGCTCTTCGTAACAAGGGATTAAACATAGACGAACAAACTCGAGCATACGTCACAGTTCAATTATCTCAATCCCAATAACTCTTCGTAACAATGGACGGGTCAT